AACAAGTTGATGACACGATAATTCGTGCAACATTGCTTGCTACCTTTGCCCATGTACAGTGGTAGCACAACGGCATTCTTCAGCTCAGGAGGCACCTCCTCCTCAATCCATACACGTTGCACCAAGTGGTGCAGCGCAGTCACCAAGGCGGGTCTGCCGTGTTTCAATACTTCAGGCGGGATCCCGTCGGCTCCGGCACGTTTGCCGTTTCGCAGCTGAGCAAGTGCTCTCTGCGTTTCATCCAGTGTCGGCGTGTCCGCCAGACTCGTCTTCACATCGTGCTTCTTCAGGCAGTTCAATGTAGGCCAGTGGATCTCTGAACGGTTGTTCAAGAGACAGTCAGAGTGTTTCCGCCAGATCTGCAGTCTGTGTGCAGGTAGCGCCTGAGCTACCATCGATCAGCGTCCTCAGCGGCTCCAACCTCTGTCCATACACCGCCTTCAAGGAGTCAACGTATTCCTTGTGTTGGCGGCGTTCGGCGTAGCATCCCATCTGCTTCGCCTTCTCCGTCCACAATGCATTTTTAATGCGACGGAGCTCTCGGGTCAGTCGCCGTCGAAGTTTGCGAAACTGACTACTCTTCCCCAAGTCACTGGGGTCTGCGACATGTGCGGCAAATGCTGCATTCTTCTCGGACACCAATGCGCCAATTGTTGTCATCAAACCAATCAGGCCGCATACAGTTTGCGCGCCAGATGGTCTCCTCGGCAGCAGCTGTCACCTGGTCGCGAATGTGGTGCCACAGGTCGCCCACTGTGGCTATGCCTTCCACATCACACAGGCGTGCAGCCAGCGCCTTCTCAAGCTCAGTACGTTTCGCCACAATACCGAGGGAGAGAATGTTAAATTTACGCCGATTCACGGTGGGAGTGCAATACATAGATTTACGAAAATATGTGTACAGTTTGGTCCGAACCAATTTGTGATCAGTGCCACACTCAGCTACACGCAGTACACGTGTCACGCGCAATTCACGCATATCACGCTGACGTACGATGACATAGTCGAGCAGGTGAGCGTGACCACTCCTTGGGTGCGTCCAAGTTGCTATATCACTCGCACTCTGTAAAAACCGAGTGTTCGTGATCGTCAGGCCGTGAGTGGCACACAGTGAGAGCAGCCTGTCACCGTTCGCATTCGCTGAACCAATGCCATGCGCACCGATAACATCTGTCCACGCTGATGCATCACGCCCAACGCGCGCGTTGAAGTCATCCAGCAGAAATAGTCGATCGCTCCTCGGCACAGACCGTATCACGGAGGATAGCTCAGTGTAGAACTGATCACGCGTGTCATCAGGATAACACATGGTCGGACCGTACGTGCTTATAAAAGTAGCCAACTTACCTCTTCCGAGTCGTAGGCGAATGGTCATCAGTCGCGCGCTGATGCCCGTTGGTTCACCCACCATCTGGCCATGGAGGCGATCGGATATTGCAAATCCCACCCCATGTTCACGTGGTGCTGAGGCGGCGTTGCCCACCCAGTAGAATGTGTAGCCAGCACCTGCTTCATGTAACTTACCTTGCTCAACGAGCCGTTTCACTGAGCGCCGCAATATTGATGTGGTAGCGCGCCAGCTCCATTGCGACCAGTGCAGTGCGTCGCTCGGGGCGATCACTCGAGTTCCGGTCCAGTAGTGTGCGCACGTTCCAGCACGCGATGCTGAGTGCTTTGCGCGCAGGCATACGATTGCATTGGTGGGCAGTCGGACGCGAGGTGGTCGTTGTGCTTCGGAGGTTTGCTTGAGTGACTCCACCCGGAGCCTTTGGCTCAATAGTTTTACCCACAAGGCAGTTGGTGGTTTGGAGGTTTGCTTGCGAGACTCCGCCCGGAGCCTTTGGCTCAATAGCCTGACCCACAAGGCAGTGGAGAGCAGATCCAGCTCGGGAATGTGATTGCAGAGACAGATTGGGATCTGCTTGACGCAGCCTTTGAGGTTCTGGAACAATTATCATATGTTTTGCGACCGTAGTAGGGTACGCACCTGCGACCACGGCCAGACGCAGGTGGGTTTTGGCGGGTTTGCACCAATTTGACCAGGGGCTGTCTGGCTTGAGGCGGGCAGTAGCAAACCATTGAACACCCGGAGGTGTCCTCCCACCGTCAGAGACAATGCCTGGCGCTCGTGCTCTACGCCAATGGAGCTGTGAGATTATAACCCGTAAACCTGTTGTCTCCCATGGCTAGGTTTTACGGGAAGAGGGCAATCGACCACTTCCTAACCTCCGGAGAGGATGGACTAGGATACTGCCAGGGCGCCCACACCGGACAGAAATATATATATATATATATATATATATATATATATATACCATTATCAGTTTAAATTTGACTTTTTGCAAACCACTTTGGACGTACTGCAAACCAAATGGGACGTTTGGAGTAGTACTTTGAACGTTTGCAAATTACTTTGGATAGGTTGCAAAACAAATAGCTCATTTTGCAAAGTCAATTAGACACATTTCATTCCCAACAAAAAATAAGCAGATAGCTAGTAAGAAATGTAGACTACGAAGAGTAGACGATTTTCACACCCCATTGTAGGCATGCTAATGCAAACGAGTTGTGTACGCAGCGGGTGCCATTGCAAAGCATACTCTTGATTGTGACCCTCGATCAAATGCGGGGACTGTGTCCCCCTCTCTTCCCATCGGCACTCTCGTAGTGGATGTGCCTGCGCCTTCAAGCATGTATTTACGTAGCTATTGAAACTATTGGAAAGTTAGACTCCCGAATAACAGTCTGTCTTAAATAAATGTTAACTAATATAGCAGGGTCGTGGTGAAGCACTGGTTTTGTGAATGAATTACGATATGTAATCTCAATGTGGACCGCGATTCTCATTGGCCAATTCGATCACTGGGACCGCAACTGATGAAGCAGGTAGGCGACGACCCAGTAGTCCCCGGTGACTCCATGGGCCTTCGCGTAGTTTGTGTGGATATGTGGGCGGACCTATGCAACACGATTATCGGAACATTGTAGGCTATTGTGACTCCACCAAACACAGAGCAGCTTTATTGGCCTGGAGCTGCAGTTCGTTATGAAAAAATGGGAATAAGGTGACTGGACGATAAATATCAACAGATTGAACAAACAAGAAGTTGGACCAACCCGAGGTAAGTGAGGCTTATAACTCCCTTTTCACGTTAAATTATCTCTAAATGCTTGTTCATGTCGAACTACGTTTGTTCGTCTAAGTCAAGTACCAAGGTACAGTGCATGAAATCGGGAGAAAATGGACGCTTTGTCAGTTGTACAACCTCTATTCATCCATGTTACGCTGAAAGAGAGCGACGACTGCTCATTGTAACGCATGCACGATAATATTGGATGGCTGAATCCTCTGATAAAATGGAAGAAACACGCTTGATGTACAAAGGACGTGTGGGAAAAGGTGTGCGATAAGTATCCAAATGGAGAGAGCAAAGTGTAAAGAGCTAGATATGATTATAACGCGATTGAATCCACTTAAATCCCAACGCCACGAGAGCTCGAGAATCATGGAATCAGATAAGGACATAACGAATGAGGTTAGAACATCTAATGGTATGGACCCGTTGATATTGCGGTAACATAAGGATGAGTTAAATCAATGTTCTCAATTGCGATGTGTAGGCGGAGATTCTTGATAACAGTTACGCTCTAATAAAACAAACGTTCCCTAATCTGAACTACGTGAACTGCAATCCAGCATCAAAGCAGCCTGTAGGGTTTTAGATATCACCGAATGAATGGCAGAAATTAAGAAAAAGTGGAGGGAGATGAACGGTTGCTTCAAGCGAAATTGATGTAGATCGAGCTTAGTTCAAAGAAAAGTTGGCAGGTGACAGCAAGGATTGCACGCACGCGCCAGTTCGAATCCCAGTAGATGCGGCCGACCTCGAGATATACCGAGCCATCGTGCAACTGTTGGTGATCACGTGGCAGCGAATCGTCGGCACTGTATGCCGGCGTACTGCAGATGCTTTTCTCTTCCCTCAAAGTGAGAGCAATGCATTTCTCCAACTATTGGTGTTGCTATGAAAAGTCAGACGAAAGCACACGCAAGTGATAGACGGGGCAGCCGCACATCTCTGATAATAGAGCAATCGTTGCGTATAATCGGTCTTCCGCGAGAAACTGAAGTTGGCTCCTGTGAATTTGCTTTCCCTAGGGCGTTTGTCAGCAGTGCCTCATCCGAGCGGTACGACGGCAATCGTACTTGCCAAAATAATCCAAGCAAGAAAGAGACCGTGTGCAGCGTTTGACTGTTAAAGGACGAAAGGATGAATAATTGAAGATACACTGATTCTAATGACCAGTAACTGGATCACAAGGAACTCGCTGACCAATAACAACATAATCAAACAAAATCTAGTGAACGAAGAAATCGCAACAAACCATTTGATGTGCCGCACGACTCAGTACGATAAATAATCAAACGAGGCGTAAACAAAGTCAGAAGGTCGAAGGCTGAGATGACCGCAGTTGCAAACAAGGCACAACCACGAACAGCTGTGTGTGAACTAAACAAGGGTTTAAATGGCGTGATTCGTAGCAAGCGAGGTAAATGGCTTATCGATAGCAGAGAACAACCAAACCAACTTCGTGTGCAATCTAACTTAATGGATTAGACCTGCACTGGTCGGAAAAGATCCGAAGAGTACAATCGTTGTATGCATGAAAAAATCCGCGGTTCATAAGCGATACCAGGTGCGGGGTTCAAAAGAATCTTAGATAATCTCAAGTAGAGAACGAGGATTAGGGTTGCGTAAAAAAGGCAATGCAAACCAATGGGCAAGAAGAAGATCCCACACAATGTCTCGCGGGTTATGGGTTAAAATGAAAGTAATGAAATATCATTAAGAGAAGTAAGTTGGTATCAGAGCGAATTCAAGTCGGATAGAAGGGCGGCTGGTTAAAATCAGCATGGAAGATGGAGATAGTGTTCAGAAACGATGAATCGGGCTTCTGATTGCGACAAATGGAATAGGAAGCAAAGCGAATCTGCTTACTTCTCTAAGAGTGTCTCTGTTAGCCCGCATTTGGTTGATCGTATCAGAGCATTGCTGAGCAGCAGCTAGAGCTTGATGGGTACTTACAAAACTACGTTTTTTCGGATCCATACAAGCATAAAAAGGTAACATCAAATCGCGCAATCCACTCAGCAAGTCTTGCAAAGCTTCCTGACCGCGCCTGGAGGCAGAAATCGGGTTTGAGATACTGGTGAAGTCCGTTGTTTCAGCCATGTCAGCATTAGGATGAGTGATCTGCAGTATGTAAATAGGAACGAGTCATAGAACGCACAAAGGAAATAAACGTACGCGGAAAAATTTCCCTGATAGGTAAGAAAGCAGAAGAGCAGTGGTTAATTAGAGTATAGTATATTTGTGAGTTTTGACTACTCAGGTTTGTAGAATGGACTGCCTCGACTATTTAAAATATCCACGTAGAATCCGGACCGACGAGCCATGCGTAACCGGGTTGCAATTCTCTCTTCTGGATCCCAGGCATCAGAACGCTTGCGCCAGAATTCGAAGAGCTGTTGTAATTTGTTCTCCTCTTTTGTTCGTTGTTGCAGATTGCGTTTTTGGATGTATGAAACATGGGTTTTTCGCCATATTCGCTTTTGGTGGGTCTTCATCTTCCGCTTTCGATTTTTAATATCCGTTTTGGCCTCAAGCGGGAGAATAAAAATATCTGGTTCGCACCAAGTAGGATCTATGAACTCCGATGGAAGCGCCGGGGCAGGTCCTACGACCGGCGAAATTGAGTATGGTGCAAAGAATGATGGGAGAGGAAAAGGCGTACTACACTGTGCAATACCCACGGTGAGAGTGTGAACGAGCCGCGAAATCGGAGCACAAACGAGGTTATTCAATCCCTTTAAACACTGTAAGAAATCAGCGGAGTGGGTATTTAAAACAAACCTGCATGAGTGGGAGAATCCTTTGTGCAAGTAGCAATCAGCTGTAAATCAGGAAAAAGTTATTGAATGGGGCTGAAAGCGGATGATAACAGGAAAACAGGCTCATTAAATTTAAGAAATGGAATTTGGGTGCTTCAGTAAGACATGTATGCGTCAAAGGTGCGAGTAGCAAGCATCGAGGTAATTAGAAAGCATTGCCCAAAAGCTTTATTTAACATAATATCCTCGGAGTAGACATCAGAAGCAATTTGGCGAACAAGCTCATTTTATAGAGTATAGACAGTTCATATCTCTACAACTGTAGAACTGATCGTGATATTCCACATTGTGCTGCATCAACAGGGTATTGAGATAAAACAGTGTTAACAACAATTTCCAAAATGAAGTTCAAGTTTACGTTACGCAGCAGGCACAGAACGTATAATAACCATTGACCTCGGACGAGCGCACTGCAAATGAGGGAAAATATCAGATGGCAACACAAGGTCAATAACGTATAATGACCGACTTAAGTGAATGATGCTGGTGGCTTTCGCCGTGAGTTCGCGTGATGAGAAAACTGAGAACTTGGACAAACTTTGCGTAAATGATCGGGTCCCGGAGGTGAATAGTGATCGCATCGAATGTGTCCAGTAGAAAGCACCTAATCAATCAAGAGGAGAGTCTGGCAACAACGTTTCGTGTGCTGGTTTCATGATATCCTGACCCTGCTGACAAGGCGCTGGCCACTGTTCAATTATAGCGCTTTACAGAGAAGTGACTTAATGCAGAAGAGAGGTACGGTAGAATCCAAAAAAGCATTAACGGGAAAATTGATCGTCGTTAATGAAATATAGGAAACAAGTGAAATCAAGTATACGAAAAAGCAGGGCGATTCAAAAAAGAAAAGCTCCAATGAAAGCGCCTATCCAAGAATCGTGCAACTCAATGAGACGTCCTATTTGCGCAAAGTACCCTGCAGACGTGGCCTGTTCAGTTAATATTTGACATGCCGAAAAAATGCAACGCAAGACTCGTAATTATGATTGGTTTTAGAACATACTGTGAGTTATGGCATTGTATCAAATTACATGTGAATGCGGAATTTGAAGTTGAAAAAGTTAAACGGAGTTGATAACATGCTAAGTTACGCCGGGTGTCTATGTACAATCTCCACGAAGCGTTCGATAAACGATGAAGCTAGATGCGTGTATAAACGTGTCTCATTAGTGTTCCGTGTTAAAGGGATGTCGAAAGTCATTTAGTAGCCCAAAACTGTCAACAGCATCAGTTTGAGCATAAAAAGTGGATATACTCCGGCGAAAAACATAGAATCATAGACTAAATAAACCATCAACTGTGTCAGAGACGTGGGTTTACGAGACGCATGACGCGAGTCCATGTCATGATGGTGGTGGTGATCCACCAACACCATGCATCGGTGGTGGCATATGTGAACACCAAGGGCTAAATACAGTCAGTGTACGGTGATGCAGCAAAAATGGATTAGATCTACAAAGATTGCGTTGAAAACAGTTGTGGCATAGTTACGCCACTGTTGCCGATATAAAGATGGTACCGAAGGTTCACAGTAAAGCATGAGAAAATGAGATATTCGGAGTGTCGAGGAAATAAGCGTAACAGTCGTAGAATGGAGAAAAATATCGACGCCGCAGTGACCAAAAAAGTTCATAAAGTGTATACAATGTATTCTGATCCTCAAAAATAAGTGATGTGCATCCGGCTGTTACGACAAGTTCCTCCACTCGGCTCTAGTCAGACAGACTATGTGATAGGGGAAAGCATAAGTACACAAATGAACTGGCAGAGATGAGTTGGATATGTCGAGCGGCTATACCAGTGAGGCACCGAATACAAAAAATGGTTAAACTTCCACAGGTTACTGGGGAATGGGCACAAAAGAAACATGCGGTTCGGTTCATATTGGAGTACAGATCCGTGTTCTTCATTAAAGCAATAGAATAGTGTGTGCAGCATCTGATCCATTGACAATATGAGCAGGCTAGAGGTCAATGCAATTGTTAACAACAAAGTGGCCTGAACTCCGCTAGTAACGCGATGCTTGTGTGTATTTGGCACACATGACCGACCGCTGGTTGGTACCATAAGCAATGTGTACAGTATACAATCGATGAGTCACGAACATGCATAGCACTCGATGGACGGGTGCATCAGTACTCATTCCGGCGAACTGCAAGAGTGGCGCGATTCGTTTGTTTGCGGACGAGTGGATTTGAATACGTAAGGTGAAAGCGACAGGTGTATCCATTCTGGTCCCAGCGCGAAATCAGCTTTGAGTACGAGTACTAATGAGATACGGCCACAATAACAACAACTTGAATGTATGGAATAAAAAACACGATTCTCATTATACCGATGCAAAGAGAGCGAATCGATACAGGGTTCAGTTGAAAAAGAAGTTGAAACTGGACCAAAAATGACTGGTATAGTAGTTGCGAGCTTAGGAATTCGTATTCCAGAAGCAAAGTCGATTGACTGGGGATACAAACATCGACTTAACCAGTAGCAACCGGACCCTAAGTGGAACAGTCTATGTGTGAAGAAGCAAAAAGGAGCAGGGCTGTAAAAATAAAACATAACTAACGGAAAGTAATTAGGTTGACACAGTTCCAGGTACTGGTTGGCAAGCATATAAAGCATGTGTCTATATACTAAGTGATCGATGAATTGTAGTAAACAGCGACAAACAGGCGACCGATTCGAAGATACGCATAGCATCCTATGACGCAGCAGTTCAGCAAACATGCCAAGCCCAAATAGAAAACAGCTGTTGCTTGAACAATGATTTATAACGGAATAAAAGCAAGTGCTTGACACGTCTCGTAGGATGGCTGGGGTGAATACGATGAAATCAAAATATATGTAGGTCATCTACCGAACGTCTGCCGAGATGAATACTTTGATAAATTACATCAGTGTAAAATTAAAAATCGAGCGTAAACGTTCAGAAAAAGACCGGAGTGCAGTGGTGGTTGATATAAGGCGTGAGAAAAGGAAAATATGGTCAGTCAGTTGGGTCCATTTGATACATAAATCCTGTAGAAAAGCATGCTTAGCGAAATCCACAATAGAGGAGTTTAGGTAAAAAAATGTTGGGAGCTAAGAGCAACATCTAATCTTTTTTTTGAAAACTTCCAAGGTAGGAGAGGATACAACTGAGCCTGGGAGTGCGTTCCAAGGTTTGCAAACCCGAAGGGAAAAGTAATTCCGTCGACACACTAGACGGCTATATTATTCCTTCAATTTCAAGCAGTTATCCCTGAACTGCGTGTTGTGACTAAGTTTCAGCAAATGGCGGCATATGTGGTTGGAGTCACTCAATATTTGATACGCTAATATGATATCGCCGCGCAGCCTTCGATAGCGTCCGCTGAAAATTCCCAGCAACTTCAGCCTTCGGTGGTAAGAGTGAGTGTGGTAAGAGCGCAGGCCCATTACATTCTTTGTTGCTCTTCGTCGTGGCTCCTCTAACGCCTCTAGGTCGAGCTTCAACCAAGATTGCCAAGCTTGGATAGCGTTTTAAACATGCGGGCCCACGTAGGAAATGTGCATTATTGGGAAGATTGATGGGTCAAACCTCTCGAATGCCCTTCGCAGCATGCCGACGTGCTGGTTGCCTCCTTTTGCAGCTAACTTAGCCTGTTTTGAACAGTTGAGGTCGCTCTGTACGATCACACCAAGGTCACGTTCCTGGGAGCTGTTCTGCAATCCGTTTGTCCCAAGCAAATAGGTGTAGTTATGTCTATGGCGTAATTGTACAACACGGCATTGGTCTATGTTGAATGGTAGAGCGTTATGTACTGACCAGTTCGACACTGTTAAGATCGCACTGGAGCCGTTCGTGGTCGTCCGATCCTCTGATCTCTCGCCATATCTCGATATCATTAGCGAAAACTAGGAAATCCGAAGCAATTGATCTCGCCAAATCGTTAATGAACACCAAGAATAGACAAGGTCCAAGAACCGAGCTTTGCGTTACTCCACACGCCACATCGATTGCATCAGACAATGATTCACGGATTCTCACATCCAGCCGTCTTTCGTGCAGAAAATTGTTAATCAAACTCAGGATTGGGTTGCCAATGCCGTAGTTCCGAAGCTTCTGTAGGAGAAATCGATGATCAAAGTGACTAAACGCTTTTTAAAAAGTCCAGGTAGATGACATCAACTTCTACTACATCATCAACAGCTTCAGTTCAGCTATTACGTGCAACTAATAGGTTAGTATTACACGAATGCTTTGACGAAAGTCATGTTGCTCTAGGGCTATTAAATTGTGGCTTTCCAGATACTGCATCAGCGTATCTGCGATGATTGATTCCATCACTTTGGATAGTACAGAATGTAGTGTTATTGGACGGTAGTTGGTAGGGTCAGTGCGGCTACCTCGTTTATGGATGGGAGTGATGACGGCTTGCTTCCATACTGGTGGAATATGGTTTTCTTCTAGACATCGCTGATGGAAAACAGTCAGTGGTTCTGCTAGATCACTAGCTACCGCCTGCAGAGCCTTTGGTCGGATGTTGTCGACTCCAGAACTGCGGATACACAAGGATAACAACTTCTACACCACAGCTTCCGCAGTGAAGGTGATGTTTCTTAAACCCGCTGGTGGAGTTATAGAAATGAGGAGAATGTTTGGGCTTGTTAACTGCTTAAAAGTTTGGGAGTAATGAAACCGTAGGAGAGCAGCTGCTTTCATTGCTGATCGCGGTCATCCATCAGCCGTGACTAGTGCCGAAATCCCCCACTTCACCTTTGGAAGGCCGTTGACATGCTTATAAGGAAGTTTGCGGTTCGTGCAGAATCGCTTCATTAACTTCTGCTGATAAGTGACCTTGTACTCGCGGATCGGTTTCGTACAGAAGTTATAATGTGTCAAGTATGCAGTCCAGGTTTCGGCATTCGATCTGTCCTTGTGAGCTCGCCATGCCAAATCCCCCTGGGAGAAACATTTATGTGTCCTGCTCTTCAAAAATGAGTCATGCTTGTTTTTGGGTTGGAAGGAGTTCTGTTCCGA